AGTTTGAACGTGGGCACGTGCCGCTCCCTCCTTTCTCTGCTCTCGTTTTCTTGCAGCTTTTATATTTAATAAAAGTGAACGTGGAAGTGCAGCTTTTATGTTCTCAGGTTACGTAAGTGTCGAGCATTTGCTGCGTTGTGTTGAAGCTCCTAATGATGCCTTTGCACATCCATAAGTCAGAGTGAGCACACCCTCAGGTCATTGAACGCACCCGATCGGCTCTACGGAAACCAAAAAGCTACTAAATGCGACTTCACTGCATGTGATCCTCAAAATAGGCGTAAAATCTGGAGCGCTAACTTCCTGGCTCAGCCGAGACAGCCGTGTTATTGGTCAGACAGTTGCAGCACAGGTCTGGCAGACAGCTATTAGCTACAGCTGTGCCTGCACATCTGTCAGAGTGCCAAAATCAAACAGGTGAGTTAATGAAATGTTGGCTAGGACATGAACTATGGAGACCACAGAGCCGTTTCTTCCTGCTGTAAGGAGGCGGGCTTACCGTTGGAGCCTGCCTCGTGTGGATGTGAGAGGAACTGCAGGTCTCAGTGTTTTCCGCCTTCTTTTTCCAGCCTGGGAGGTTTCCAGTTGGAGTCCGCCCTGGGAAATAAAGTGCTCTCTCCTGTCCCACATTTAATTGACACATCTGTCCACCCTTCCTGGCTCTCTGTGGCGTTTGTAGCTCTGTAATAACATCAGCCCGATCCGCTTTGCTTCCAATAAACAAGAGCCAGGATTGTGTTTGACACTCGAGTTCACTCGAGGTCGTGTTTTTGGCGTGCCTCTTCTACATTTTGGCCTCATTAGTTCAGTTTTGTCCCAGTTAAACTGTGATGATCCTCGCGGGCCACGATGAAATAATGAAAGCACAGAGACGCCAGAATCACCCCGAGTGGATTATATACGGAGTCGACAGGAGCAGCGTCGCCGGTATCACACCTGACAGACGCGTGTGGTGACTCTTTGGCGGCAGGCAGCGGTGGCGTACATCTATCGCGAGGAGCTGAGAAACAGAACTGACGAGCTTTGGACGGCTTGTTGTTTTTCATTTTCTTGTTATGGTCGCTTTGGCTGCGTTTCATGCTGCACGAACACGGAAACACCGAACGGCAATTTCACTCTCCAGCCAACAGTTAATTAGTTAAATTTAACTCAGCCTCTGAAGTGTGGCAGCAAACATGTTAGAAGCACTGGACTGTGAGCTGTGAACAGAGCGCACCGGTACGCTCGCTCATTAACAGCACAGTGTCTGCACACTGCCCAGCTCCGGATCTCCTCATGCTCACTGGGAAATGTTGAAAATGTTTCGTTTAAAGGGGAAATTTAGCAACTCACAGTTTGGTTATTTGACCTAAAATATATATATATATTAGATATCTGTGAGTGTCTGCAGTGGCTGGTTCAGGAAGCTTCTCCCTACAGAGCAGCGTTAGCTCGGGGATGGTGGTGTGTTTCCTCTTCACTGACTGAAGTCCTGACATTAGAG